TCATAAAGATGAACTTTTGTGCTTCATTAATGATAACAATCCTAGAATAATATGCCTTATTAGTGATGTTGACGATTTTGAGATTGAAATACCGGGTTAAAATTATGTTAAAGTTGTGTCTCATAGTTTGATAACTGGTGGTGTTTCCACTTACATTTCAAATGACTTAAAATTCAAAACTATTAAGAATTTTAACGATAATGGCTTGGATGAGAGAAATGTGTGGATATGTTCAGTTGTTGTTGACGTACGTAGTGAAAAAATTGTGATTCTCAATATTTATCACTCGCCAAACACCAGTGATGGTTTATTCATTAATAGACTCATAAAAGAGTGTGAATTTTTAGTTGATTTATGTAAGGTAACGCTTGTTGGTGATTTTAATATTAATTATTTGAATAATAATCAATACAAAACGAAGTTAGATAAGGAAATGAGTCATTTTGGACTGAAGCTGCTAGTTTATCAAGCAACTCGTGTTACTGACAGATCTGAAACACTGATTGATTTGGTATTTGGGCGGTGAAAATTCCCTTAGTACCTTTGTCCTTGATAATTGTTCTATTACTAATCATTCTGTAGTAGCTATTAAATTTATTAATAATGAAATTTATCATAAAAATATCTTAGGAGAGAATAAGATTATATGTACTAGAAATATTAATAGTTGTAATGTTCTACTGAAAAAGAATATTGAAGTATTGTTTGATATGTGAAATCTGCAAATCACTGAGTGCATTAATGATGATTTTTCTGGTTTGATTGAACGAGTTATTAATGCAATTATTAGTAATTATCAGATTAGCTGTCCGATGGTTGAAAAGAAGATCCCAGTTATTCAATTAGAGACAAAGTAAAATATAGAAATGAATTATTTGTTCAGGCTCAGCGGCTAAGGTGTGATGTTGTATGGAACTTGTTGAAACGTGTATGTAATAATATTGTTTCATGTATAAGACTCGATAAGAAACTTTACTTTGAATCGCAAATTGATAATAATAAATTTGAGCCAGGCAGAATGTGGCGATATTCAAAAGAAAATTTTGGGTAAAAGAAATAATAGTTGTCCATTTGATAATATATTATCTACTAATTTAAATGAGTCAGAACTTGCAAATAAATTTAATAAATTTTTTAGATAGCGTTCGGCCTGGCCGAAGAATGACCTTCTTCAGCTGAAGAATGACCTCCAAAGGCGCAGAAGAACTGGAGGATGGTCAGAACTGGATGAACAGACCATCCTTAGTCCCAGCTGCGACACTGTATTACTACTAAGTGACTTTTCTACTCTTTTCCGGTTTCTTGGGGACAAGAAAGATTGAAGAATTGTAAAGTGATTCGCTTTCAACTATGATATTCTGACGTTTAAGTTCGTCTATTTGTCTGTTTAATGGAATTTTATGCTTAGTGCTATGCGAGAACGTTAATATGTCACCTTCTTTATAAAAGATTTCGCTGTAATAATTGCAATGTTTTTTGTAATACTAAACTTTGCCTTTCTGATAAAAAATTCAGATCAACACTTATATATTTCTCACGGGAATTAGTATAAACATAGCATATATCTATATTATGAGGATTAATATGCTTGCATTTTATTTTAATTACAGGCTTTTATTTAGGAATATTTTCGCGAATTAGATATTCGGAATGGCAATTGTTACCTATCCGAAGGGTCTCCGGAATTTTCATAACGTTAGTTTTTTGTCCGAGGATAAAGACTGATCCTTTTCTAATGGGAATTGAATATGTATGCGTATCCGCTTTATTTGCCAAAAATGTGTCAAATTTCAGTAAAGGATAATTTGTATTATTTGATAATAATAACTGTTTCTTAGTCTGCTTTGGATTTCATTCTCTCCAAATTGTCTGAGACTAAAAGTATGTCAAAATGCTGATGAAAGAGAACTACGAAAAACTTAAATCGTTAGTCTTCCTTAAATAAATCAACATTCGTTATGCTTAGTTTCTGTCGTTATAGTTTATAACAAAAAAATTTTGATGTATACAAGATCTGAAAAGTGTTTGTGAGCAATATCCGGGTTAACGAACGAATTTGTTGCAATGAATTAAAAGTTTGATAAATATATTTTCTTTTAAATTTATTATAGGGCAAGGTAAAAATCGACAATTCAAATCTTTCTATCGAAATTATTTTGTATATTTAGTTTTCCGAGGTATGTCGACGAAAATTCTAAAATATCATTATCTACAATACCTTGACTATAATCGTTCAAACCGGGATGTTCGTCATGTTCCTAATAATTATAACTATCTGAATTTATTCCTCAAAATGGTTCAGGATTTACTAAATATGGTTATTTGGTGGTTCGATTTCTGTCAGCAAGACTTGCAGTTGTCGCCAACGCCGAAAAGTTGAGGTCTGATAATTTTTTGGTCTTCTGCTACTCCTAGAGTTTTTTTGTAATTCGGTATTCGATTCTGAAGTTAGTTAGTGTATGGGTTAATTGTAGGTTGTAAGGTGTTTCAGCAGTTTTCTTCAGGGAGCTTTGTCATCTTGGCCCACCCAAGTGCCCGGGTGTCAAGGGTTGAGGGTCATTACGGTCTGAACTCATAGGAGATAAAGGACGGGAGTTAAGGCATGCTTCTACCTTATTTAATACAGTTAAAAATTCTTCAAAGTTAAGGTTTACATTAAAAAGTACTCGTTTTAAATGATGTTTGGTTGACTTTACCTAGGCTTCGCTTCCCAGAGGCTGCCGAAATTGGGTGCTCTTGGAGGAGTAAAGTGCAACTTGACTCCGCCAGATATTAATTCCGTTTGAATTTTGGATGCGTCTTGATTAAGAAACCTTTTTATTTAATTATTATCCCCGACAATAGAAGATACCACGCCGTGAAAAGAATATACGTGAGGCAGCAATAAAGGTTAAAGTGAAAAGGTCAGTGACAACCTCCAAATAAATAGCCTTTGTACTAAGACAAATAAAAAGGCACATGTACGATTTAATCAATTTATAATTTTTAGTAAACCTGTCCTTAATATTGAACGGTCCTCAGAAATCCATCCCTACATTCGAAAACCGTCGCCCAAGAATGACCTTAAATTCTGGTAGATTTCCCATAAAATATTTAGTCTCTTAGGCGCTGAAACGAAAACATTTGGAACACTGGGGTACTTTTTTAATACGTTGACTGCTACGGCAATTTTCAAAAATGTGGCCTAAAACGAAAAGTAATTAAAATCTTTTCCATATGACGTACTGACAATGTTTAATGCTGTTACAAAGAGCAATGATTACTTAAATTGCCTCATTAAAATTTCTTCAAGGTCACATCTCTAACTTCTTGAAACGAACTGTAACGTATTCCTATTATTCCCCCACACTACAACAGGAGCTTTCGTTGGAATCGGTACAACATTGGTACGGGAACACAAATTTAACAATGAATATTTATTTATGTGTTTTGTGTTTGACAATCTCATCAACAGATACGGTAAGTAAAATGTTTAAATGGTTGTGGAACTAGTAAAATAATACTTATATCCCTTCATATTATTGCATTGCATAATATATATGGATCATACGCACCCTACTTACAAAATTGTAGGAAGTTGAAAGTATCAGGACTAATCGACTAATGTATTCTCAACTCTCCTCCATCTCCATCTTGTGGCCAATCAGGAAAACTGTGTAAATCTCTGCGCAGTAGTTACGCCCCAATTTTGTATATAAAACGTATAACTTGCTTTTGCACATCTATTCTTTCATTAGCTGAGCAGCATAAAAGAAGTTTTGCGTGAGAAGAGGGAAGCGGGTACGAAAAATTTGAAAATACATGAGTAAAATCAATTGAAAATAGATGGTATTGAAAATACATGAGTTGTACTGTATTATTGGAGGTTTTGCGTACTCTACATTCTGCGCGCTGAACTAAATGACTACTGAATTAGACTAGTGAATTAGTTCACTTCATTGAAGAAGATTTATTATACTACGTCAGTGAATTGAACTACAATTCCCAAGTGTACTTTGGAATAAGTCGTTTCCAATAATATTTTATAAATTGGTTGCCAAATTGTTCATGTTCTTTGTAACCAAAGGTTAAACGTGATGTACCTACATATATTTATAAAAGATACGATAGATATAGGTCAATTTTATATCTAAATCTTTATAGAAGTGCTTGATTACTTCTCTTTAAATTTAGTTATTAAGAAAAATTACCCATTTTATGTATTTATTTGAAAATACCAATTTCATTGCAATAATTTGCAGAAAAATCGTTTTTTAAAAAAGTCAAAATTCTGAGCTAATATTAATAATGCACTTATAATTACAGTCAAAGTAAAATAAATTTTTATTATTTTAAAAATAAGAACATTTATTTTTTGAAAAACTTAAAACTTTTCTACAATTTACACTTCTATTAGGATTTGGAGGAAAGGGAATTATCGGAAATTTTAACAACTGCTTCAAACACGTTACAAACTAACAATCCTTCCTACTACATCATAGTTAAATATAATGACGCATTGTTTTGGAGCCCGTTAGATAGATACGTATGAATACGAATCTGTAAAGCAAAAAGGTTTGTAATTTGATAAAGCTGTTGCATTATTTTGAAATTACATTAGCTATTTCTCTTATACCTGAATTATCTGAAATACAGTTTGAGATTTGCGATACTGATGGAGTAGTAGTTTGGAAAAGAATTCTTACAAACTTTTTTAAATATATCGCCGGTTGGAGTGATTCGAAAACTGAAACCTGCAGGAAAAGAGTTGGCTGTTAAGTTGACGCAGCAAAACTATTAAATCATGAATGTGATGATGAAGTGTGAAGTGAAAAAAAATATGTTCAGAAGTATTTAATTTCTCTTATACACCAATAAATATCTATTTCCTACTTAAAGTTCTTTAAATCTCGGTGTCTCGACAGCGACAGCGACAATCTACGTTCACGTTGTCAACGCAGCACTACCACTGAAGATGTCAGCCGCAGTAGCTGACGAAACGTCTGGACTGAATGGTTCACTGAGACCACGGCCCTATAGCCCGAATCTGCATTCTACTATTGGTGGGATGTTTGGAGCAACTATAACAACTCCTCCCAGTTGAGATTTCTTGCAACTCTAGGTACTGGTTGACCAACTCGGGTACGTGGGGTCGCCAAGCCTAAATCGCCGTGGCGGCCCCTGCGCTAAATCCCATCTTTTGATTCATCTATTCATTCTCACCTATTACTCTTTCTTTCGTTAAAGACCCCACCCCACAAATTCCTTTCGTAACTCCTTCTGTTCATCAGTGCCTCGCTCACATCCCATTCTCTTTCTCCCACATTCCTTACTTCCCATACATTCCAACTTCTCATATTCTCATATTTCTTACACTCAAACATAATATGCACTCAATCTTCTATCCGTCCACACCATACACAAGCAGCTGTTTCATGCAAGTGCCTATCGTACAAGTATTTATTCATGGACCCATGGCCTGTAACTACAAACCCTAATCCCAAAGTCCATTTCACCCACTCGCATCTATCACACCACCTAACATCCTTCAAGAAACTATATGTAATCCTCCCTTTTCCACAATTATCCCATCTTTCCTGCCATAAATCCATAACTTTTTCTTTCATAATTATTCCACATCTTCTTATACAAAGTCCTCTCAATTCCCTTTCTCCACATAAGTCCAGTTCATCCATCAAAATTCCCTTCTTTACCATGCATATTCCAGCCCTCATCCTAGCCAATAAATCCCAAGAAGGTGTACCCATCATCACCTGCATACTTTCCGTGCATACAGTTCCACAGATTGGCAGACAACAATATAGAGCTATCCTCTGACATCTATTTATTTATTTATTTATTCCAATCCAATATTTTAAAATGTCAACCCAAACGCTTTCTCCATACATTCCAATAACCACTAAGAGTCCTTCATATATCATTCTCAGACTTCTACCCTTCAATCCCCAATCTCTTCTGGTCACCCTTCTCAGGCAACCAACCACATTAGTCATTCTTCTCCTTATGTGTCTCATATGTATTTTATAGTTTAACCTTTCTCCAGTCAATATTCCCGAATATTTAACTTCCTGAGCATATGCTATTGTTCTATTACCCATTCTCACCAATATTGGTCTGTTTCCAATTAATCTCCCTTTTAACATCATAGTAACTATTTTTTTATCATTTAATATTACTCCAGCACTCTGACCCCACTCTCCTATTCTTTCTAACCCATTCATCATTTTTCCTTCTATCTCTTTCCTACTATTTCCATCAACCATAAGTAACAGATCATCAGCATAAGCAACGGCCTTACATATTCCTTCCAATTCCTTTAATAGAACATTCATTGTCAAATTCCTCATAAGTGGCCCTGCTATACTGCCTTGCGGGAATCCCCTTTCAATATCTATTCCTACTTCATCATATTTTCCCTTTATATAAGCTTTCCCATTATTAAAATAATCCATCCATATGTTCCTTTCCTCACATCCCAGTTCAATTATCCATTCCTGTAAATATCTCCAGTCTAACCAATCAAACGCGCTCTTAATGTCCACAAAGCAAGCCAGTACATATTTCCGTCGTGAGCTCCTTACCGTTTGTTTTACCTTCATCCATGTATCCACCGTACTTTTCCCAGTCCTAAATCCATACTGTTTGTCAATTAATTCATCATCATATTTATTATTAATTCTATTTACCAACACCCTTTCCAGCACCTTTCCCATAACGTTCAGCAGACAAATCGGCCGATAAGATGCCACATCATCCTTGAGTCTATCTGGTCCCTTTAATATAACCACCACATTAGCCTTCTTTCAATTCATTAGGAATATGCCTTGTTGTATACAATCATTGAACAACTGTATTAAATACTCTGGGTCAGCCCTCCAAAAGGCCCTCACCACTTCCGGAGGAAACCTATCCAATCCCGACGCTTTACCTAACTTCATCTTCCTTATTGCCTTCTCTACTTCCTCTTCTGTCACAATTATACACTGTCCTTCTCCCCACACCCTATTCATTACAACTCCTCTAGGAAAGAATGATGCCAATAAAGAACCCATTCTCTCCTTCCAATCATTAATTTCCTCATTTCCAGTTCTTATACTTCCCATAATTCCTTTATTCCTTTTCCCAAGGCATACCTTGTATACATCACTCCACTGATCCGAGTTCCCGATTGTATTAACAAACTCCCTCCAGTTATTTTATTTGCTTTTATTTAGTTCCATTTTATATTCTCTCACGACTCTTTTATACTTTTCTTCCAATTCTAGTGTTTCCTCATTCCTATTTCCATTTCTCCTCATCCTTTGTACTAACTTTCTTGCTTTCCTTACCATTTTCTTTCTCCGAGTTAAGTCCTCATTCCACCAGTTAACTGTACATTTGCAACTCATCTTTTTTCTTTTTAAAAGTCTTGTACATACATTTCTTATTTTATTATTTACACATTCCACCTTATCAATATAACAGACATTTCTCGGAAATAGTCCAGGTCAATTTCACTAACCGCATTCTTCATTTTGTCCACGAATCCTTTCCAACAATCTACATCCTTTAACTTCCATCTGTTAATATCGTTAGTTTTCCTTAGACCCCCTTGTTTTCCTAACATTATTTCAATTATATTATGGTCACTAATCCCGTATTCCGAACGTATATTCCATTTAATGACCCATCATCTCCAATTCCTCTTTATCATTGTGACATCTACGTCGCTTTGTCCACTGACCGTTGAAAAAGTATACACCGGGCTGTATTCATTAAATATATAATCAAATCCTCTGCCATACTCATTTCCTCCGCTTCCCTTCCCCTCATTTCTGTTTCCCGCACTTCTCCAACTGGGATCTTGCTATGCCACATGGGCGATACAGCGTTTGCGTCAATTCCTATTAGTATTCTGCTTCCATTCACTTTGGCTAGGGTATTTTTAAGGTACCCTAGACCGGTATCTATAGGCTCCCCATACCTGCAATATGCAGATACAAGAATCACCTCACCAAGTTGTCCGTTAATTTTGACACAAACCCCAATTGTGTTGGTGCAGTCTACAATCACCTCGACCTCCAAATCCTGTCTGGTGACTATAGCAGCAGTGCCACCAGACACTGCAACGACCAGCAGCCTATGTGGTATACCCGGTATATCATCTCCTTTCCCATATGGTTCCTGTAACAATAAGACATCCACCTTTTCTTCCAACATAGCCACATCCAAGTCACACATTACCCTATACCCCCTGTGTTCATTCACCTGCCATATCTTGTACCTTCCTTTATTCCCCCCATCACTGTCGCATTTCCTCCCCTTCACCCAATTCAACCTCATTAAGTTTTCGGGACAATCTTTACTTAAAATATGGTGGCTATTATTTCTTTGCCTCACCTTGCAATTCCTACACCTTATATCCCCATCCCTGCAATCCCTACTCATATGCCCCTCACCTCCACATTTTTTACAGACAACTACAACTTCATTGTATGACCAAACGCAAAACATTTGAAGCACCTCACGACTGGATCCCCGATCAGTTGTTCTCTTTATAATCCTTTCCGGTAATTCCATTATGACATTCCCTTTCTCTTTTCCCTTACCTCCTCTAACAACAACCCTTGCCCTCTTCTTATATTCAACTCGAGTCATTACATCTCTACAGTTCTTTTCGTAAAGTTGGTTTATTATGAATTCATCAGACCATTCGTTTAGTTCATCATACATCACTATTCTGTTCATTTTTTGTTTTAATTCTTCAATTGTAAGTCCAACCATTTCAAATTCTCTACACTCCACTAATTGTTTCTTATCGTGCTCGCTACTTACTTCAATGACCACCTCATCCTTTTTTGTCTTTCTAACAGCATCAACTTTTATACTTCTCAACCGAGGCTTCGCCCGATCTATCAGCTTTTCCTTTACTTGTTCTCCATTCGTTTCCGCACCTTTTACTATTACCGCATACGTTCTTTTTTGTGTTTTATTACTTTCACATGCTCTCTTATTCCTTTCATATTCCCTTTCGTGCCTTTCAATACCCTCAGACCTTACTTCTTTCATTTCTGTCATCCTTCCTTCTATTCTTCCCTTTAATCTTTCATTTTCCAACATTACATCCACCATAACTTTTTCCATTCCTGCCAAACTTGACAGTACTAATTTTGCCACCCCTTTATTTACTTTATTATTTTCATCCGAAACACAATCCCTGATTACCCCGCTAAATTTCCTCATTATATTTACTAGGCTTTCCCTTTCATTGTTACTTACCTTATTACTTTCGTCATCGCTTGTGTCTTTCTTATCCCTTCCTACGTCATAAATTCCCTCACCTTCTGAGCTATTACTCGATCTCTCCTTTCTCATCCCCTTCTGTTTAGTTTTAAGTCTTTGCATATTTGTTCCCACGCAATGGGTCGTTTAACTTTCACTCCCAGGCCTTCGCCCTTACCTAAGAGAGGGCAATTTATACACCACCGGGTGCGCCAGATTCCCGGGGGGTGGAATGGTAACGACTGCATCACCCCACAGTCATCCATCCTATCGGCCCATCCCAACCTTAAGATTTGGGGAGTTTTTTTATTGAGGTCTCCATCCTCTTGGTCCAGGCGGTTAAGCCAAGACCCCCACCACTTCTGTCCGCGAGACATGACCACCGTCAACAGAAGTACCGGTATATCGGAACCACATACCTAACCTTGAGGAATAGGTAATTCCGGCATCGTTATCTTGGTGCTAAGCTCTCCGCCACGACACTACAGCTGGGCCAAGAGAGCTGGTCCGCCCCACTTATTCACCGGACGCTAGTTTCAAACAGCACCGGTTTATTCGTGGTCACCAACACCCAGACTTGCCCTTTTTAGAGGGTGCTGGGCCGTTGGCTCCCCCTATCCGCCACCTGGGGAGGCGCCCGGTAGGTTGCTCAACCTCCGTACTCACATACGCACGCCTAAGCCTACGCATGCTCACACGGCCGGGATTGGTTTAGGTAGCTGCAGTACCATGTCGACACCATAAACTTAGTACTCCTATATTGCTAGTAGGGGTCTAGAAAAAGATGCCGACCCACCGGTGCAGACATGTCTGTCTCCCTCATTTAGACTTTGAACGTTGTGCGCATGTCCGAGAAGCTACCGCGCATATGAAAACTTGTCTACTCTAACTACATTATAAGCTTTGAGAGATGAGGGTTTCTCACACCACAGTCGCAACGCTTGCGCATAAAGCATCAAGTATAAACGAGTGAGAAGAAGTATGTAGTTGCTGTCTCTCTTGCTTGCTCTTGTATATGGTTGACGCGCACTTTATCGTCTCCAACAACATGTTCATGTTTTGATGAATTTGAAAACATCGCATTGTCACCAATCCATCAAAAAAGATCTAAAACTGCAGCATACCTCTATGACAAATTAGAAGAACAATTTATATTTACAACACTTTTACAGTTACTAAATCTATACAGATAACTTTTTACGTACTAAAAAACTATTTGATGTCCTATCCAGGAGGAAAAGAAATAATAATTTATTACAAAGAAAATAAAACGTTAGATGATTAACGACGAAAAAAATTGGTCAATATAGTAGTAAAGCATATTTTGCAATTTCTATCTGAAAATACTTTACCATCACATGAAACTAAATATGAGTATGCTAAGAATATAAATACTTTATTCCCGTTTCTTTGCGACAAAGGTGGTAACATAGGATGAGTAAGAATATTTTTTAAATTAGGATGTGCTGATAATATTAATGTTAATTTAATAATACGTCTATAAATGATGAANCTGCCGTCTGAAATGTAATTATAAAATAAGCAACATTCAGAGAATACAAGTTCATCGGGACTTCTGGAATGAAAGAATTCTATAAATCAGGAAAAAGCAATTTTTGTGTTGGTGCAATGAGCAAACACCTGTAGTTAGAAACAGAGAAAGAACGGGAAATCGAACTGGAAAACGAAAAATCAATCTAAAATATCTTTCTACAATGGTAACATAGGATGAGTAAGAATATTTTTTAAATTAGGATGTGCTGATAATATTAATGTTAATTTAATAATACGTCTATAAATGATGAATAATATTAAACACAGTATATGCTAGCAAGCATTTTATGATACTCTTACGAAAAAAGGGTATATACCTAAAAGAATAAGGACTATATTTCGAGGAAACACGAAAAATAAAAGTAAATAAGTGGACTACAACCAAGAAGAATCCTTATAAGAATCGGTAAAGGAAAAGTTGGAATTTCTTAAACATGCTTCACTAGCAGTTCACGAACGCGAAGAAATCATTAAAGCTGTCACTGATACTTTTTGCTACCGACAGTCGAACAGAAAAGTATACGCAAATCACCTTTAAAGCTTTTGAGGTTGAGGGAGTGGTAAATAGTATGCTTTCTGTATTGCACATTATAATAACAGTTAATTGTTAAATACAGATATCGCTTGAGTTTTCTTTAATGTTTCCTGAAATAACCGAATGTTTCGTGATGAAATTTGAGCAACGAGTTTCTACAATAAAAGAAATATATAAACGGACAGTCACTGTTCCTGATCAGAGATATCTAAGAGACAACGTGTCAGTACTAACCCCTTAGTACCAAGAAGAGTACCATCGTAAATACCTTCATAGTGAGACAGACATAATGGCATCATACAATTAGGATTTTCCCTAAATTATCGGTAGTGTATACCTGCATACGGAATGTTCGGGTAGGTATGGACCGGTGGAAATTTGGTGGTGGTGACCGAGTTGTGTTTACTTTTAGGATATAAAAACGCTTTTAGATAATAATAAAAGAAGACCAATTCAGACATAAGACAAGTAACGAGTGTCTTTTTAATTGGTATTAGTTTTAGTTCATTAGCGTGTATGTAGAATTATTAAACGTATAATACAGTACAAATCTTTTTAATCTACATACTGTGGGAACACTCGGTATAGCAAGAAATATTTATATTGTGTATCAATTAAGCCTCTGCATTTGTGTTGACTTAGTTAGGTCGCGACACACTCACGACTAACTAGGTCGACGGCAGTTACATACACACATGTAAAGTGCTGAATTGTTCTTTGCCATATAATACCATGCAAATATTTTTGTATAAATACCGTGTAAATATTCAAATAAATTAGTCTAACACCAGGCTCACTATTATTCCGATGCTGACAAAGTGTCAACCCTTGGAAGCTGTGATTTTGTGCCAATCATCCATGATGCAGAAATGTGTCCAACGATATTATAAAATCGGTTCTTCTCAGAACCACAACTTTTGATAGTCACTTCTTACTACGACTACACAGAGTGACTACAATACACTGGTCCTTCGAGTGTTATATTTTGTGTGATCAATTTTATTGATCTACGTGGTACGGAAACAATAAAAAATTTTCGTCAAGCGAGCCATGCTCCCCAACAATGTCAGTAGTCGTATTAACGAATTAAGAGCAAAACTGAATATAATCACAGCTTAGAATTAAACACTGCTTACTAGATTTTATTTTGATACATCTGAAATTTGAAGTTATATTTGATTTTTATGTCATGTTTTCTTGTTTTATTTGTAAGCGAACACTTTTAACGGTGGTGGAGGTGGTAAAACATTTAAGAAAACGTCGTACTTTGTGTGATAGAGAAATGCTGAATTTAAAATGTTGCAACGAAAATTTAGTTGTTCCAGTTGATGGAGTTGATGCAAATATGCGAGATTCACTCGACCAGAATTGTTTGTTGTGAGAAAATAAAATTCAATGAAAGAGTTCTTTCTGGTATTCTCACTTTACACGCCAAATTAATTGCGAGCAAACTATTTTATATAAATGATAAGGATGTTGATTTAAATATTTAATAGTCAACACTTAACTTAACTTACACGTAGAATTAAACAAACTAAAATGAATAAAATTAAATGTAAAAGTATAAAATAGGCTCTTTGATTGAGTATGATTGTTAATTTGTCTTGTTTGTTGCTTTATCGTTACTGTTATCGATACTGATGAAAATGTGTATCCTTAATTACTTAAACAGTTTCGCCAGTGAGCGTTAACTATAGCACTGAGAGTGCAAGGNACCCCATTTCAGGTACAGACAACATACATATTTTTAAATTTGGAAAGTACAATAATATGGCGAACGTGACTTTACAAAGGAAGAAATGTTACAAAGATAGTAGAATAGATTATAAATTTTATGGTTCAAAAATACTGAAATTACTGTTTGCATTTGATAAATAATATATACCTGAAATTTGTAACTAAATAATAAAATGAATAATAGAATTGAATTTGTACGCAAATAGAAAATAATACTTAAAATTTCCGACAATAATAAAATTAGTATGCAAAATAAAATAAAACCTATAGTATTGTATAAGATGCAACAAGAATAAACAGAATTCAGATGCATTAATGGATGTAATGACTCCTGGACCACAATTATTAGATAAATCTTACAATTTTGTTAATATTCAGGATGCCACCAATAAACTTGAAGACATTAATGCGCCTGACAGTTTCTTTGATAACGTCCCCACCCCGTCCTCTTTTGGCAAAGAAAATGAAATACCAGCTCTTTTGAAAAATTACCACAAATGTAGTAATAACGACGGTTCTGACATACAATTAGAACCATTTTAAGGTTTCGAAAGTTCTTATGCTCCTGATAGTGATATATTTAGTAGTAATAGCGATTCTGAAATCATCGATGAGGTTCTAGAGGATGAGCAATAGGACCATTTAGTGAATAATAATCAAAAAACAAACTCTAACGCAAAAGGCAAAAAGGAAAGGAAAGAAAAGGACAAGAAATGTAGATATGTGGCAAAGAAACATACGAAAACGCAAAACAATGGCTGGAGGAAAGTATAAATCTAGTAAGACTAAAAGGATTATTCATAAAAGGACTCCTAAGGAACCTTGTAAAAACTGCCGTCTGAAATGTAATTATAAAATAAGCAACATTCAGAGAATACAAGTTCATCGGGACTTCTGGAATGAAAGAATTCTATAAATCAGGAAAAGCAATTTTTGTGTTGGTGCCTTGAGCAAACACCTGTAGTTAGAGACAGAGAAAGAACGGGAAATCGAACTGGAAAACGAAAAATCAATCTAAAATATCTTTCTACAATAGACGGTACAAAAATTCAAGTGTGCAAAACATATTTCTTACGTACACCAGATATTTTTCAAACATTCCTTAGATATGCACTATAAAAACTTCAGCCCAATGGAATAGTCGAAAGTGACAGAAGAGGGAAGCAGTCTCTTGTCAACAAAATTAATGAAGCAGTAAAAAACCAAGTTCGTCAGCATATCTTGTCATTTCCATGTGAGGAATCTCATTATAGTCGAAGAAGAACTGCGAAGAAATATTTAGGTAGCCATTTGAACATTTCAACAATGTACAGGATGTATAAAGACGAGTGTGAATTAGAAGGTCTACCTCATGAAAAAATCGCTTAGGAATGGCTTTACACTCAAATATTTAATACTGAATTCAATTTATTATTTGCACCTCTTTCAACTGACACATGTGACGCACGCTATAAGTTTATAATTAATCTAAGATAGACAAATTCTGCATCAGAGCGAGAAGCTATACAAGTCAAATATGACTCTCACTTATTGAAAGCAGATAAACGATACAGTTCCGGTTCATCAATTACATGTACAGTGTACAAAACTTTTTAGTATTTAGAAAATTTAGACCGTTCCTGCTGTGCCTTTGAGCCTTTGATAGACAGGCAGTTCTGTTATTTTATGACTTATAGCTTTATGACAGTTGTCCCTCGAATCGGATCAGTTTAGGATTGTATTTTTGTATATAGCTCCAGAACCGACATTTTTCCTTTACTTAGAATTTCATAACGCCTACCACTTTCCAATTCCTAGTCTCAACCAATAGTAGTAACCACCCCACTTACCCCTTGTATATAGTTTAGCTTTAAATACTTAGACATGTATTATATAGAGTAGACAATATTGATTATTCAGTAAAACCAAAATATTCATACATCATTTAAACCAGTTAATTCAGATTAAATTTTATACCAGTAAAATACCGAATAAGAACCAAACATAACCAATTTTGTTAAACCAAGAAACCGATAAACCAAGTTTGTGTTCTTATCATTTCTCTCTAACTCTCTAAATCAAGACGGGACATTACGGATACATTCTAAAGAAAGAAGACAAACAAATGTCACATGACAATCCCAAACAGAAGGTTCTAATGATAGACCTACAAAAATGTCTGCCCTTCCCGAAATTAACAAATGCTAAAAGTTTCTACAGTTTGAAACTGTGGTGCTTTAATTATACGATTTACGATTCTTCAGAAAAGAAGGCACATTGTATGATGTGGGATGAGTCCATTGCTGGTAGGGACGGAAATGAAATGGCTTCGTGTTTTGTGCGATATGTAAATTCCCTACCAAAGACAACAGAATCGACTATTATTTGGACAGATAATTGCCCATCACAAAATCGAAATCTGCAGATGATAATGTGCTACTTCTATGTATTGGCAATAAATGCTCATATTAAGGAAATCAGTCACAAGTACCTTATCCGTGGGCACACGCAAATGAAAGTAGAAACTATTCATACAATTATTGAGCGAGAAACTAAGAAGTGTCCCAATTATCAGATTATTACTCCCTGGGACTGGTTATAATTAGCTAGTTTCGAGTTGTTTGAAAGTGAAGGTCTTCCGTACGCTTACCCTGTAAAAGGTCAGTTCGCTAGTGATAGGGCGTTCAATAGGCTGATAATTTTTATTTCAAACTCTACTCATATACAGGATGATGCATCACAAACGCGCATGATATGTGTTGACAGCTACTACGAGTGTTGGCAAGATTAGGAGGGTCCTGTTCCGAATGAAGAACCGATTTCTCCGGCACAGATCTTACCCTCGCCGGAGATACTATAGCAGGCATCCAGCGTTGCCAGGTTCAGTAGATAGAATTATCGCACTCTTTAGGAAAAATTATCGTATTAACATAAAAAGTATCATACGTTATTGCGCATGCGCATCTGAGTAATAGTTTAGTGGTGGGGAATATGAATTCGTAATGAGAATCTGTGTACCCCAGTGGTTTTTTCAGTTCCAGCGTTGCCAGTCTGTACGATAATTATGGGAACTTACGATAATTTTGCTTCAAGTACGATGTACGATATCGTAATTCAAAATTCTATTAAACGTACGATAATTCGTGCTTATGGTTTTTCGTAGTGAGTGCGATAATTCTATCTACTGAACCTGGCAACGCCGTTGACTATGCAGGTTCGTACCTGCTTCGAGACCGAAAGGGTCGCGGTTGTAAACTGACCAAAGGCTACTTTTGCATTTTTATATGTTTTAGTACTACGGCTGTCCACATTGAGGTCGTTACCGATTTGTCCAAAGAAACATTTTAACTAGCACTAAAACGATTCATGTCACGCAGGGGAAAACCCGAACAAATTTTTTTGGACAACGGTAAAAACTTTGTCTCTGCAAGCACAGATTTTAAGGAGCTTAGTTCATTTCTAAAAACAAAACTTAAAGGACTCTTTGATGTGGTTTTAACAGACTTAAATCATTCTAAACCAAAGCCGGGCAAACTTTAACTTCGTAGGAGCCGCTATCTGAGGTTAATTTGAGTCACTCCATACCCTTCAATGAGTACGAGAGAGTAAGCAGTAATGCTTCATATTGCTTTCTCTTTTTCTTCTCCCTTCCACTCCCATGTCAAGCCCCTTCATCCCGTAGACGAGCGAAGCCTCTCGTGCAACTTAAATAATACCTACGAAATTTTTCTTTACTACGTTCGTAATACTATTGGGTTTGGCTATGGAAGAGGGGACTCACCTACAAAATGGAAGGAATAAGAAAATGAAAGAATCATCTCACTCGTACTCGCAGGATCAATGAGGAGCTCCTTGGCTATACCTGAGGAGCACTCAGGAGTCAGAAAAGCTGAGTTTGCCCGGCTCTGTTCTAAACAATACAAAGCGGTAAGATGAAATTAAGCTTCGTACGTACACGTAAAATAAATAGAGAAATATTTAAAACTCTTTCGTTTTCTTATTGAACTTTGTGTTCCAATAAGTTAAATACCTTTATCCTTAACCCGATTTTCGTCATTAGTACTAAGCAATATAAAAATTGAATTGGGAAACAAAAAATTAATTTTAGATGGTAATTACTGGATTGAATCCTGATCAAATTTTGGAAATTGCTTCTAAAGCATTGCAGGTTTTCATGTATCAATTAATTTATCGACTTCGTTGTAAGGACGGAATCATAAATAAAATAACTGAGAAGGCTCGAGCTTTAAAAGCTTATAATTATTCCATCACTGAACAATACAAGAGAGATTTGGTGCAAATGAGGAAGACTATCATAGGTAAACATGTTTTATTAATAACGAGGTATACTTTTGAGTTTATAAAAAGGATACTTTGATCTTCCATGAATAACGTGTATTATTATGACATAACTAAATAAATAATTGGCGCGCCTTAACTTTTTAGAACTGAAATTCTATAAATACAACTTTTTATTTTTTATGTTCACTTGAAAAATGAACAATTAAAAATTAAAATATTCGATTATAGGGGAATGATTTTGAGCTACTTTTTAATCTATACATCGAAGACGCGATCAACATCATTGAAAACAGTACAACTGTAGGGATAGATATATAGCAGTATTAGCATATAGCAAGGAGTTACAGATAGCTTTAAATAAAATGAAAGCGGTATTGACAAAACAGTATTGTATGTAAACAAATAAAAGTAAAAGAAAAATACTGGTATGCAAGGAAAGTAGAAAAAGTAGGGAAAGAGCGAATATAAAGACAGGAGACGAAAGATTAGATAAAGTGGCTGATTTTAGGTATTTAGGAAATCAGATAAGTCAGGACGGAAGGAGTATTAGGGAGATATAAAGCAGAGGATAGCGCAGGGTCGAGTCGCCTTCAATAAAAAGAAGTCACTTCTATGCTCGCGAACGGTTAAATTAGAATTTCAAAAAAGGTTGTTAAAAGTGTATGTTTGGAGCAGGTGCTGTACGGGTGCGAAATATGGACGGTGGGCGCGGCGGAAAAAAAAAGGTTAGAAGCGTTCGAAATATGGCGTGACAGGCGAATGATGACAATAACCGTGGATAGAGAAGGTTAGAAATGAAGAGGTAATAGGAAGAATAGGAGAACAGATGACTCTATGGAAGTCAATAATAAATAGGCGAGATAGGTTGGTAGGACACCTTCTCTGGCATGAAGGTTTAATCAGAAACATATAGGAGGCAAAAATTGGAGTTAAGAGGAGTAGAGGTAGACCTAGATTGGATTAGTGATCGCAAATAGTTAAGGATGTGGGATGTTCTAGTTTTTGGGAAACGCGAAGATTAGATCAGGTTAGGAAAGAGTGGAGGTGCGTGTCCGAAAAATTGTCAGGATGTCATGATTTTGATTAATAATAATTGAAGAAAACATTTGATTACTTAGTGGTTATTGTTACAGCCAATTTTGGAAGCAAACGTCGCTTTAACTATTAATAAGAAAATTATCTAAGGACGGAATAATTTTGAATAAATATTGTGTTAATTAATGTTATAAATTTAGTTATTTTTTGATATGTGTTCAACAATTATAATTACGTATAATAAACTCTAAATAAAACTTATTTTTTCTTGTACACTATCTTACATATGGGGCATGACATGGGCATTCTGTTTGGCCCTCATCAGGGACTGAACAGCACGGCTGAAGATGGCCTTAATTTGTCTGAGGAAGAGGGAAATTAGTCGATAAGCTTAGTTGGTCAGAGCATTGGTGCGTAAAGCCAAAGGTCCAGGGTTCGATTCCCGGCGGGGGGTGACAACAGCAACAAAAATATTTTCCTCAATAATTTGAGGAAATTTGTAGTGGTTCTAAATCGAAAAGTGACTTCAAGTTGATGTTGCATAATAACATTGACCGCTATTAGTAATTAACCCTCGTCGGTTGCATGTGTATCAATGTGATACAAGCACGTTTATTTTCCGCGGCATTTGTCTAAATGAAGGTGGGGGTGTCTCGCCTTCACAGTACCTTCCTAGGTCTATGTTTTTATCAGTTATGGTACCGACGTTCTGTTGACTGGGGGTGTGTAACTGTAAACATAAGTGTATCATACTGATACATTGCGACTTAAAAGGTAAGTGTATTATAATGTTGTGTTAACAGGCTTCGTTTATATTTTTTTGTGTTTTGGTTTATTCAAAATAATGGAGGATCGTGTGTACAATCTAAATAATCCCCGGGATGAAGAATTGATTAAAAAGTTGTTGTGCGTAACGGAAGAACCTGTCTCGTATGATAATTTATTCTATCTTGGAAGAGACAAAACCTCCAAATGGAATAAACATCCTCGCCCGAAGAGACGACGACATGAGTCACATAATATTGTCACACGTCTTCCAGGAGTAATCCATGAAGCACGGGAAGCTAAATTACCGACACAATGTTGGAGTAATATTTTCTCTGACAAAATGCTACAAACAATTGTTGAGGATACAAATCATTACATTCGTCTTGAAGCACTTGGGCAGAATGTAACAATAGACGAAAAGCTTGAAGCTTTTCGTGGGCGTTGTAAGTTCAAACAATATATCCCTACCAAACCTGCCAAGTACGGAGTGAAAATTTATGCAGTCACGTTTTATACTCACAACCTAGAAATATATTCTAGCAGACAACCTGAGGGTCCCTTTGAGCTGAGTAATAAACCAACAGATGTTGTTAAAAGATTGGCTCAACCAATATATGGTACTGGGCGAAACATTACTGCTGACAATCGGTTCTCAGATATAAAACTAATTACCGAGTTAAAATCTAATAGATTGTCATTTGTCGGGACAATAAAAAAAAATAAAAAGGAGTTGTCAGTAGATCTTCCAAATGTAAAGGGCCGACCACTACAGTCGAGCATGTTTGCTTATGGAGAAGATTGCACAATTGTCTCTTACGTGCCAAAAAAGAATCGAAATGTTGTTGTTGTATCTTCAACATTACGATGATGCCATAAATAAAACATCGGGAGAGGCAGTAAAACCGGAGATTATTACGTATTATAATAAGACCAAATCAGGTGTCGATGTTGTAGATAAACTCTGCGCATCCTACAACGTTGCCAGAAATACACGCCGTTGGCCGATGGTAGTTTTTTTTTGCTATGCTGAACATTGCTGGTATCAATGCGTAAGTTATTTCTATCGGTAATGGACAGGAGTGTATGCGACGTCGGGTTTTTCTTCGGAAGATCGGTTATGAATTAGCTCTACCATATGTTCAAAGAAGAGGTCTGAAAAAACAAGGATTACCCCGTCCTCTTGCTGACGATCTTACAAGATTTGAGCCACCGGGAAGCACTGTTGGGGAAGCTGGACTATCGGCGAAAAATGTAGCAACTTCAACAAAACGCCGTCACTGTGTCTTGTGTTTTGTATTACGAATAACTAAATTGATCAAAACTACTTGCAATAAATGTAAGCGTTTCATCTGCGGCCAACACACAACTGCAGTGTGTACCGAATGTTACCCACAGCTTCATCTGCTGGAAGACTCTAATAGTGATAACTAAGGATATTTTTGTATACAAACACTAGCTTATTTTTTTGTGTTATATAAGAGAAAATGATTTATTTGT